AAAAAAAAAAAAAAATCCTTCTGCCAAAGTAAACAAATTATACAAAATTTACTTAAAATTTAGTATCTCTCCCACCACTAATGAAAAAGAATGAATTCCATTCCTAAATATGTGTTTAATAGAGAAAACTTAAAATTACTCTGAAAAACTGATCATCTTATAAAATTTTTATAAATTTCAAACTTAAAGGAAAATACACACAAAGAACAAAGTAGAGAAATAAATAGAAGGGAGAAATTCAAATACTTCTTCAAATTACATATCCCATGGTTTTAAAAAATATTTCGTTAATTTGTTTCATTTATACCATAAGTTTATCTTAACTTGTAGAAAATAAAATTTGTTTCTTTTTTTGTAAGAAACTTTGTGGTTTATGACTTGTACTACTTTGAAGTCAAAATACACAGTGTAGTAACCATTGTAATTGTTATTATTTCATTATAAAAATATTCTATTTTTTTTTTCCCACAGAATAAGAAAAATGTTTTTTTGAGACTGGGCATGGTGGCGCGCACCTGTAATCCCAGCTTTTGGGAGGCTGCAACAGGTGGATCACCACGAGTGCGATCTAGCAGTGAGACCCTGAACACCCTGTACACGCTTTCCTAAAATACAGAAAAAAGAAAAAAAAAGAAAGAAGAAGGAAAAAGGTTTTTTTGAAGTGTGTACATATGTATGTGCCACTAAGCCCAGGGCCTCTGCATGCAGCTACAATCCTAGCTCTTTTTATCTTTTTATTTATTCATTTTTTTATTTTTCTAGCTCTTTTTATTTTATAACAATAGACTTAATCTTGCTCATTAGTTTCACCAAATTGCTAAATCATCCAAATTAGGCTTGAATTTTTAATCATCTTGCCTCAGCCTCCCAGAGTGCTGGGATTATAGGTATATGCTAACACACTCAGCTTTAAATAAAAAAACTTAATTACAGTTTATACCTATTTAACCAATATTTTAATGTCCAAATTGTCAAGGTACCACATATTCTAAAGGCAAAGCTATCAACAATAACAAAACAAAAACTACAAAGAAAACTTCAAATACCACCAACTGAGGCTTTTAAGAAATCTAACTGAAAGCTCCGCCTATAATCTAAATACATTTCCTTTGAATCTGTTCCAAGCAAAAGGGAAGGGGAAAAA